GAGGGTACGTCCACTTCGCATGTTCGTAATTTTGGCGAAAGGACAAGCTCAACAGTTAGAGAATGCGATAATGAGGAAGAAAGTGATGATGATTTCATTCGCGGTGAAGACGATTTCACAGATGGTACCTCGGAAACGGAATCGGATAGATCAATAAACAAGGAGAGTGAACTAGAATTTATTGAAAGAACACCCATTTTCTAGTAGCGGTCAGCACGTGTATCGCGAGATGGGCGAGTGGGACCAGTCGAGTGTAGACCGGGATGAGCATGCTCTGCTACGTTAGAATGGAAATATTGAGATTATCCGTTTGGGTACTGTTTTCCGGTCCAAGGAAGAAGCACAGATGGGTATCATGAGTTGGAACATTAGTAGGTTGAGGGAGGTTAAGACAACCTATTCGAATAAGAAATCATTCAAGGTGGTGTGCACATCTAACAAAGATCAACCTTGTTCGTGGAGGGCTCGGGTGACGCACTGCACACGGGTTCATGAACTGTGGGAAGTAACAGAATGGAATGAGAGGCACAGTTGTATGCAAGAAGTCGAAAAAAATGACCACAGAAATGTAACCGCCACAATGATCTCAAATCTTGTCATGACCAAGATTCAAAAGAAACCCGACTACATTGTTACCCTGATCCAGGAGGATGTTAAAAAATGTTGGAAAGTCGATGTGAGCTACAAGAAGGCATGGCACAGGAGGAAAAAGGCCATCGATCGTTTCTATGGCACTTGGGAATCGAACTTCGCACAACTCCCTCAGTAAGAAAAAATTTATTAAAAATGTACGTTGATGTTGATATTGGACTCTTGATGTTGAGAATTTTTAATTTTTAAAGTATTAGATAGTCGGGATAAATGCCTTAGTCGATTGATAAGTCGGATTTTAAATAAGTTGGGGCCTTGGTTATTTTTGAATATGAGATTGTAAAGACAAGATTTTTCTAAGTTAAAAACTTATGTTTTTTTGTGAAAATCTGATATGTTTGAGCTTTTATGAACTTATTCAACTTGAAACAAAAACAATTGAATATGATATATGTCAGCCTCTGTCAATTTGAGTAGTACTAAGCATATGTTGAAATGAGCACTATTTTCTAATAAATAACCTTAATCCTAATATTTTCTTTTTTGTATTGTTTGTAGATAAATGGCTTCATCGTCCTCCTCACAGCCTCAGAAGTACAGTGTCCATCCCGGTCCGAGGGATGACACTCTTCTATATCTCCAGTACCGCCACCGGTCACAGGCGGTGCATGATAATGCGTCGGGAGCTCGTGACACGGCGCTCACAAACCGCCGTTTCGACAGTCAGTTCTGGGTGGCTTTGTCAAGCCAGCCACGGTTGGTTTGGGAGGTCATCGACCGGACTGGTTTCGGACCCTGTTTCGAATGGGTCGAATCCAAGCCGACAACAGCCTCATTACTGCTCTCGTGGAGAGGTGGCGCCCAGAGACGAATACCTTCCATTTCGATTTCGGCGAGGCCACCATCACGCTCCAGGACGTACAAGTCCTGTTCGGTCTGCTAATCATTGGAACTGCTGTTGTGGGAGTGACTAGAGATCTATCACCCCTACAGTGGCGAGAGAGGTGCAAGGACTTGCTAGGGTACGAACCTTATGTTCAGGTATATTTTTTCATAGAATTTTTTTTTTAAATATATGTCAACTCAATTTTATCGTTTTTAATACGGAAAAACCACTCTCAGGATCCTCCCACCACCAAGGAAGAGTAAGCAACCCAAGATCCAAAGTCTTGGGACATTAAAGGCCAGTATCTGAATGATGGAGGGTTAGAGGAGGAATGCAACCGTGTGTTGCAAGAAGGACAACCGGACATCGTGTACGAGCAGAGGGCGAGGGCCCTTATCTTCTGGTGCATTGGGTCCTTCATCTTCCCCGACCACCGGGCGAATGGCCTCCCACTTTATTGGCTCGACCTGTTGCAGGACATAGATGCTGTTAAGGGGTACAACTGGGGTTCAGCGCTCTTGGCCGGAGTGTATAGAGCGTTGTCAACCTCGTACAAGGCCAAGGAGAAGTGGATGAAGAACTGTGTTCAATTGATCCAGGTAAATTTATTTAATTGTTATTTGAAAATTTAATATTTTATTTTTTCTTACTTCGACTAATATCTAATACCAAAATTAATATCCATTTGTGTAGGTTTGGGCATGGGAGCATATCCCTCATATTCGTCCAATAGTGAGGACCAGTAGGTTTGATAATCTTCCTGATTGTCCATTGGGAGCGAGGTAATCACCTTTATTTTTATTTAATTCGTACATTATTTTCATTATCAAATTTTGTGATTACAAATTTTTTTTTTCTGTGATTTTTTTAAGGTGGGTGGAACCGAAAAAGAAGTCCAACATAGCCAATACATTGGTCGCCTACCGGGATCAGTTGACAGGGCTGGGAGAGTATGATGTAATATTCTTAATTCTTATTATTTGATTTATCTTTTTTTTTTGTTTCTAATTTTGTAATAACTTAATTACTAATTTAATTGTTATTTTTTTATAGTTCGATTGGCAGCCCTATCGACAACACCTGGAGAATGATACTCTCCCGGAGGCGTGCTCAAGAGATCCAAAATTTTGGATGTACCGGGGGTGGATTTTCAGTTGGAACACCCAAGAGGTACACCTGCCTGACAGGGTCCTCCGTCAATTTGGGTGTCGCCAGTTTATCCCCCAAGATTCGATCATTCGGGATGAGCGAGACTGGGACACACACCACAGAGGTCAGGGGATGACTGGGAGGGCGTTTTATGATTGGACCGCATTCCATGTGCCGTTTCTATGCTCGTGGACCGAAGAAATAGAACGTCTCCTCCCAGTTGCCCCTGCGTACGACTATCTGCAGCCGGAGCAGGGTTACCTTGAATGGTTTCACAGCAGGACTGTGAGATTCATCAATAACCCTGCCAATTACCCGGTGTTCCAGCAGGCGGGCGGGTATCAGCCACTTGCCGAGTAGTTAGGCTGTCAGGTAAGTGTTCATTATTTGTGTTTATTATTATTATTATTATTATTATTATTATTATTGTTATTATTATTATTAATTTTTATTTTTTTTTTTGTTTCATACTAATTATTATGAATTTTATTTACAGACTTCTGCACTACAAGGGGTTTATGGCGCATTATCCGACATTCAACTATTAATGCCTCAAATCCCTCCAGAAGCGAAGACCGGCTTCCAACAGTCGTACAAATTTGCCTTCTCTTCTCGACTGTTGAGGGCTAGGGTGTTCCACATGGGGGGCCGTCCAATCAAGTTTTCTCCCAGGACGAATACATTCCCCCCATGAGGACACAGTCACACACGGTCAGGCATCAACCCGCCCCCAACATTGGTGGGGGTAGAAGACCTCGGGCCCGTCCCCGCGCTCAGCCGTCCGCCCAACACCTCCAACCTGAGCAGCCCAAGCCTCAACAAGGTGAGATTTTTTAATTATCAATTTCTTTTTTTTTCAGCCTAATTTATGATTTCTTTTTTCAATTGAATTACTCAGATGAAGAAGATGAAAATGAGCAGGCTTTTCAAACTAACACGCTTCTCACACCTCAACCTTCGTCTTCTTCTCACATGGTATATACTCGGAGGGGATCCAGACCGCTCAAGACTAGGGTTCCATACACTCCTCCTAATTAGTTGTGTTGAATTCGTGGATTTTCTGTTGATTTTGAATTGTTGGATTGTCTGTATAAACCGAATTATATCGTTTTGTATATATTATTTGTTCAACAAATTATTGTATTTCATTTGTTTGTTTATATGGTATGTTGGATTATTATTGGGCGAATATGTTGATATTAGTTGCTCGAACAGGTGTATTTGGTTGTGAACAGGTATATTTGGTTGTTAATAGGATTTTTGCTAAAAACGTATTAGTGAAATACGTTTTTCAATTTTTTTATAAAAAAACGTATTTCAAAAATACGTTTTCTTTGGAGATTTAGGGTATAATCAAGTTGGAACTAAAATTAGGGCAGCAAAATCAATTCGGGGCAAAATTACAGGTAAAACGTATTTTCAAACAAAATTAGTTTTAATTTAAAAACATATTTATATAATACATATTTTATTTTTTTTACTTTAAAACGTATTTAGCCAATACGTTTTTCTATATTTTAATTAAGTTAACTAAATTTTTTTTAGAAACGTATTCCGTGAATACGTTTTAATATTGAACATGTATTATGTAAATATATTTTACAATTAAAAACATATTCATGGAATACATGCTTTCTATTTTGGTCGACTCTCGTTTTATTTATTGTGGTTTGGTTTTGCTTTTGCATTATGTTTAATTGTCTATTGCTGAATTATGAGATTTTACACTCTATGCTTGAGTTTCTTTATTTCTAATGGGTTCTGTAGTTTGTTTATAAAATGCTTTTTGTGCTTCTGGTTTTGATTTTCTAATTATTAGTCTTTTTTTGTGATGTTATTGTGCTCTGTATTTGTTCAATTAGTGTGTTGCCCCAGACATTTATTAATCCCACTTGTATATTGATCTGCTCATTGTGTCATTGTATGCTCTGTGCCTCTGTNTACTGCAACAGTGACTTTTGGTTTCGGTTTTTATCGGTATAAACCGATACCGAAACGATTTATCGGTAACCGAAAAATCGGTTACCAAACTCTTATCGGTTCGGTATAAAAATTAGTGAAACCGAAACCTATCAGTTCGGTTTCGGTTTTTGGTTATCGGTTCGGTAACCGAACTGATACCAGCCCTAAGTATCTGTGTGTTTTTTCGTTTTGGGATGGGAAGGTAAACAGTTTTTTTGCATTTCAGACGGGCCTAAAAGTAAAAGGTCTGTAGCACACTGAAGCCTGAAACCCTCAATCTGCTTTTGTTTGAAACTATTCGCAACAGAGCAGAGCGGGAGGCGCAACCATTTCCTCAATCGGCTGCGCAAATGAGGTTTGAATCGCTATCATCAGAGCGTATTTTTGCCTAATTTTCTGTTTAACTAATGCAATGAGTGGCCAAAGAGTTGCTCAATCTGTGGATGAAGATTTTGGCGAATGTGGACTGGAAAATGCAGACAAGCGACGGGCGCTGTCATCGGACAGTAAACGGGCTAAGGAGACAGCCGTCGATCGGCTGAGTGAGCTGCCAGATTCCTTAATCATCCACATCCTTTCTTTCCTGGACTCTGATGTGACCAAAGCTGCAGCTACCTGCGTGCTGTCCAAAAGATGGCAATATATCTGGCCTCAACTGCCCAGGCTGGCCTTCTGGAACTCCACCTGGGATTTGGAGAAATCAAGCAGTTTCGTGTCATGGGTCCACAGGACCCTTCTTTTCCGCACCACACCTCATTTGGAGGAGTTTGAGGTCAGCTTTCTGTACGACGAGTGCTATGCCTCAGATGTCAACGCTTGGGTACGCATTGCCCTGAGAAATAGAGTGAAAAAACTTAGCTTGGATTTACACTCGGAAACATGTTTTCACATTCTTCCCCAGGTTTTGTATTCCTCTTCTTCCTTGGAGTCCTTGTGCTTGACTCGCTGCGTTGTGGGTCCACAGAGCACGATTGAGTGGCCATCTTTGACTTGGTTAAGTGTTTGCAAAGTGGAGCTAAATGAAGGTGTGATTCGAAAGATACTATCATGTTGTCCTGTTCTGCGTACGTTGGGACTCACATCATGCTGGGGATTCAGGCGTTTGGATGTAAATTCCGAGAGAATTAAAGACCTTACGGTGTTGGACTATGCAGATAAAAGTATATTAGAATTGATGAATATCTCGGCACCCTTTCTGCATGAGCTACACGTCTCATTTTGTCCAATACAGACAAAACTGCAGCTCATGAATGTATCATCCCTTGTTAGCGCCAACATCTATTTCTATGTAAACAATGTATCTGATGATGTAATGAATGACACAATGGAACTTCTTGAAAAGACCCAACATGCCAGTGGACTTGTACTAGGAGGCGCATGCATTAAGGTGTGAATCCATAGTATTCATTTGCCTTCTTGTTTATCTATTGGGCCTTCATGATAACTTCACAATTTGGTTATATATTCTCCCTTAGCTATATGTGGTTGAGTTTGTCCAGATATCTTTTCAGTCATTGTGGTATTATTTTTGGTTATCTCATCGAGTGAGTTTTCGAGTCTGGATTGCAAATTTTTGTGGGAGTTACTTCAAAAAATGAGTGCATGGAACTGCGTGTCTTCTTTAAATTTGCTTCCCTAGAACAAAACATGAGTTTGGATGATATTGTTCCATAATCTACATGTTCCTTTGTTATATAGATCTCCAAAGTAATGGACATGGAGTTTGGTGACAATACAAATCCGAAGTTGTACGTTGTGATAGGATGCTTCTTGTTAAATATCTTTACCAACAAATTATCAATAGTCACACCATGCCCAAGAAATATGTGTATGAAAGTATTGGGTGCCAAGAACAATGTACCAAGCATTTATTTCATATTTTAAATGAGTTATGGACATGAATAACTGGATATTAGTTTTTGTCAGCAAGCGGTACAAGTAGTGAACCATAGTGGATACAATTGGATTGTCTTGCTTGCTATTCACGGAGACTTGGGGATAATATGTTTCTTGTCACATTCCATGTTGGTTGATGACCGTAAATCTGCAACGTTTTTTCTAATTTCAATTGTGTTTAGTAATTTATGCATAAATGGGTAGCAAAAATCAACCATATTCTTTTGTAGTATGGAAATTTCCTATTTTGATGTGAGATCTAGTAGACAACTGAGTTTCTTTGTCTATATGTTACTATTTTAGGTTCTATCAAAGTTGGTGGCGCGTGGGTGGCGGCCTCCACAATCGTCCAAGCGAAATTGGTTGACATTAGAAACTTTGCGGGATGAGATTAGCATTCCTGGAATACTTGCCCTGATCGAATCTTATCCAAACCTCGAGAAACTTCTTATAGAGTGTTGTGATCCTTACAAGGTAGATAATTCATTTCCAATTTAGGTGGCTAGCATCTTAATACATATCTGTTTCATGGTTTTATTTAAACATTATAGAAGAAAAGTAGCATTTGCATAACTACTAAAAAACCCGTTGGTTTGTTCCAGCATCAAAATAGTAAGGGGCTAGCTGTAATATTTCTTTTAATATGATTTACCCTGGTGGATTTAGAATGGGACATGGGTTTACACTGGTAATCCCAAATTGAAAAAACCTCATATGATCACAAAATTAAGACAACTAAATATACCAAGACAGAAATTACTTGCGCTAAGGACCACTAACTAGTTCACTATTAATTATTCGTTCACGAAACAGTAAATTTGTTTTTTCTTACAATTGTTGCTTGTAGTTTAAGTTGTATAGTTTATTTGGTTAATTTACTGATGAATTTAATCTAAATTGTATGCAGTTGATTTGTACTATGTTATTAATTATTCAGTATAAGTATGCCTTTTTGTTTGAAATAAGTATGAGTGGTTGACGGTTAGACCGCCTTGCGACAGAAATTGTGTTTTCTTGAAGGGGGCAAATGTAAGGAAATAAAATTCAAAGGGCATAACTTCCAAGGGCAAGGATATCATTTACAGTTACTCTTTACGAAATATAACCTGTTAACGAATTTAGTTTATATTTAAATCTTTGTTCGGAAGTGGTAGGTGAGAATTGTAATTGTCAGCAAATTTTGTGCTGATGACCCGACCTATTTTAAAACATTAAAATGCTTCTAGTACTGTTTAGCAACAGAATGTTATCAGAATTATGATGAATGATTCTTCAGGCTAACATTCACAAGTAGCTTGAAGTAGGGTATTTTGGTTATGGTTGCCATTATAATGCAAGTATTCATACCGAAGCAGATACTTTTAGGCCAAAATTAATCCAAAGAGCCCATACCAAGCTTATTAATTACCCAAAATCGATGAAATGATGAATTTTGATTTTGA